CCAGGAGAAGCTCTGCGAGGTGCCTGCGTGAAGAATCGTGGAAACATGTCTGCTTCTCCTTGGCTTCTTGGCACCATCGTTTGCATCTTCAGCTTCCACTGTGCGCACCGCCAGGTCATCCATTTTGTCCCCACATCGCCAACACGTAGCGGATGCCACAGTGCTTCTTGGCGAGTGTCTTGTTGCTTTTGGGATCTGTCGGTTGATGACAGCTTCAAGTCACACAAGCTAGGGACAACTAGGCTTGAGTGTAGGTCGTCATCCGGGGACGGCGCGGTACCAGTGTCGGATAGTGTCGGAGTTGAAAGGTCCAGAGGTTCGCCTAGGTTTGGAGGAGAGCTTCGCGTTTATAATGCTGATGGCATCCACGCCAGCTCAGGTTGGCTTCTGGCCATTCTTGTCTTACAAGTTATATATTCACTAGTTTTGGTCCAGGTCAGTCCACCAGGCAGTGACATTTGAGCTTTCTCCCTCACAGCTTGCCCCTGTTTGATTGTTCTTGGTGAGTGTATTAAGGTTCCTGAAAAACAATAGATGTTGGGGAGGGATACAGTACTGGGATACTGGTCTTGCCCATACCCTGATAGCCAGATCTAGCTAGACTTCCAGCGGGTTTGGGTAGAGGGGGAGGGATGGGGAGGGTGGGTTGGAGAATTGGGCTTGGAGCCCCGAAAACATTTCCGAACGCCTTCACCTTGCAGAGGACTTTGCACACTCTTGTCGGATCCTGATCCCACTAGTTGGATCATGAGGAGGAGGAGGAGCATGATTGCGCCACTGACAAGATGGCTCTAAATCAAGGGCGCATATGGCAGACGCCGCTGGGCAGCCACAAGTAGAGTTGGATGAGTGTGCATAATGTTTGCCGGTTTGATTGTCCTGGTTTGCATGTCCGCCAAGGATCTCCAACACTGTGGCATGGCTCTGAGTTTCTCTTGTTGCCTTGGGCCTGTTTGAGTGCCGGACCTTTGCAGAGCGTAGTGACATGCCTGTCTACATCAAGATTCGCTGGCGGCTCTGGTGACCCGTCTTGAAAAACACTTCCTTGACATAAGCTTCAGTTGCTCAAGGCAAAAGTCCTGGGGCTTCAGAATCACGAGGACTCTTCTCTCAACTTTTTGCACCACTGCAGGGAATACGACAGAGCCTGGACGGACGTGCCATCCCCCCCAAATCTTCTTGGAGACCCTCGTTTACTGGAGAGAAGTCTTGGAGGAAATCCCGCCCTGCTTCGCACAGGCTCTGGATGCCAGCCACTGAGATGAGATGATGAGAGAGGGTCCGTTCTTGAGCGTTTTTGCGTCTTTCTCGTACTGTGCTTCCAGGTCCCAGCCCTCGTGATGGAGCAGGACTCCGGCCTGCGTGGTGGTCACAAGGCATTGGCAGTGGTTGAATGCAGCGCACACCGGGCAGCAGACTGGAGATGCCAACCGAACGTATAGCATTTGATTTGATTTGGCCGTCATGTCTGCTGAAGATCACTGAAGGCCTATCAGAAGCGCAGTGACTTCACATCGGAGAAGGAGGCTTGGCATTCTAGGCGATTGCTTGTTACGGCCATCTAAGAACGGAATCTCGCGGCAGAATCGTCGCCTTGAGCGTCTGCTTCAGAAGTTGACCAATCGACCACTAGAAGAACACCTGATCACTTTGCAGGCTCTGGCACATATTCACCTGGCGAGTCCGTCACCAAGATTCTTATGGATCTAGTTGTGGATTGACACAGCGGCACCTGTGCAACATTTTGTCTGAGGACTTGCGCAGAATCATGAGAAGGTGATGACAAGTCTGACACAATGCTTGTCGGTCGCGGCCCCGCTTGCTTTCGGACGTAGTGACGCTAGTGCTACCAGATGCCCCGCAACATGTGTAGATGAGAGCCAGTTGGAAGCCAGCCTTAAGACCAATTCCAAGTTCGATGCATCATGTCCTGAAATTGTGCAGCGAAATGTAGCCAGGTTGTCGTGAAGGGCGCTCGGCGATCTTGATTGATGGGTGTTATGCCTCGTTATCTTAGTGAGTCACTGCTCGGAACTTCGGAACCTTCAAAAGGTGGCCTCGGTCTCGCAAAGTTGTGGACATCTTGCGAAGCCGCCGTCGCGGCTTGCAAAGCAAAGTGGCCTCGCCGATCGGCTCTCAGCAAAGCAGCTGGATGCCAAGGCTGGCAATGGCCGAATTGATTCATCTGTTCAATGTCAATGACCAGTCTTCTGGTAGATATGGCTCAGATTATGGCTCAGATTGTGGCAGCTTCCCTTCCAAGTTTTGGCGGTCGAAGCTGTTGAGAATCAACCCAATAGTGCCAGACAGGTTGAGCGTGTGTTCAGAGAATTCGAAGCATATCTTTCTTACCTTCGGTAGTGCAAAGGAGTGGCATGGAGTGGCTCGATTTATACTCAAATAAAAAGCCTGATGGCTTCCCTGATTCCGCCAACTTGCTTTTGACTTTTGACAGAATATTCAAATCTGAGGGCTCTCCAAGGCCAGACGTGCCCAGACCCTTGCAACCTTGCAAGGGGGACACATGGGGACCCTCCGCAAGATGTACCTGTAAGGCTGTAAGATGCTGTAAAGCTCTCTCTTCCTTCCATCGTCATCGCCTAATCCGAGAAGTTTCGTCACGATCCTATAAGCATTTTCCTTTACAGTTTGGACAACCGAGTGCAATGGCCCAAGGCTCCCTGCTAGGCCCTTCTTGCAGCCAAGAGTAGGTCAAAAGCCGCGGTGAAGGGTCACACATGTTCGTGGTGTCAACGAGCTTGAAATTTGGGCTTTGGGTATGTGAGTAACTCTATTGACGTTGGGGACCGTGCATCAAGGTCGGACTCCAGACACATGAAAGGAGGACGCAACGCAAAACATTGCAAACCACCCAAATCATCTCGGAGAGCGGCCTGCCGAAGATAAAACGCAACGAGAGGCCGAGGCGAGAAGTGTATCACGTTGCCCAACATGCGAGCTCACATGTGTAGGGATTCATACCAGTTGAAGATTCTCTGAACACGCAGCCTCAACAACAATCCCTCGCAGATGTGTTCCGAGCAGTCCTGCTGCTCAGCAGCACGGGAAGCTCTTTGATTTTGGCTCATTCGTCGTCAAATCAGAAGGAGAGTTGACTGAACCACATGCCGGACTTTGTGGGAGCAGTTGTGCTTCACTGCTTTTGATTTGGCCCGAGATCTTCCAGCCAATATGACATCAACTAGATGCATTGCTGCCAGCTGCAAGCCTAGTTACTGAGTATTCAATCAACTGATTGGTGTCCGTCACCTGGCGCATGATCTGGTTGCAGAATGCACCTTGGAAGTGCACCGCAGTTCCAGGTAATTCCATCTTGTCTGGGCCCGTGCTCTATCACAGAGCTGGAGTCCGGACGCCCTTGAATATGGGGATCACAGTTGTGACGTCCACTGCCTGCAGCAGCACATCTTCAATGTGAGGCAAGGCAGGCATCTTCCAAGTGGACGTTCTGTGCTTCCGGGAATCGTGCAACCAGTGTCACCTTGTGCGAGGGCGGGAAAAGTCAGATGTCAGATGTCCTTGGACTCCTTGGACTCCTTGGACTGATGTCTTGCGGCTCTTGTCAGCCTCTCATTTTCTGGCTGGTCGAACTGCAGGGAGGCCTTGGCCGTGATTCCAGCCGTGCGCGCCGGCCTTCAAAGTAAACTCAACGTAAGCTCAATACGGTACACTTTTCGCCCTATCGGCCTCAACGTTTTATCAGACTGAGGCGACTTTCATACCACATATACCCACTCTTCTATTTCCCCCAGTTGTCTTCGAGTTGTCTTCCGAAAGCTTGGAAGCCATCTGTGTCTTCTTCGTCTTCCTCGCATTCTACTCGAGTACCTTACTGGACAGCTTGGAGCCGCTAGACAGGGATGACATGTCAGCTCGCCGCATAACCGTATTTCATGCACGTGTGCTATCTTCATGGCGGGATCGCCGGAAGCACACGCCAAGGTAGGCTCCAACAGCACAGGCTAGAAGCTTGGTAAGCCCATGCCATTGCAGGAAGATGCCGCAGATACCTCAGAGCCGGAAACGGATCAAGGAAGTGACTTCGATGAGGACACAAGCTGCAGTCAATTTGTTGCGGTTGCTGCTGCTGCTGCTGCTGGTGGTGGTGGTGGTGGTGGTGGTGGTGCTGCTGCTGCTGCTGGTGGCGGTGGCAGGGGAGAATGCGCAATTGAGTGCGAAGTCTCAAAGTCGCTCCCAAAGGCATCTCGCCAGGGGACCTTGGAACTAGCAGCAACTAGCATGGTCCTTGGGTCGTCGGAGGTTTCCTGGCTTCCCCGACAACATGAGGGTCCCTGAAGAGTCCCCCAGGTCCATAGGGTGAGGCAGTCTACGGTCCCCGCGGATGCAAGAGAATTGGGGAATGTCGGGTATGCGGCAATGCCCAAGCCTTTGCTCCAAGTAATTGCTGGGGAATGTCGGGTGTCAATGTGGCAATGCCCAAGCGGCTGCAATCTGTTGCAGGAGGTCTGGGATGACTATTGGTCCAAGCCGGCCGTGCCCCCAAATGGCGCATTACATACATATTTGGAGTACATTGTTGCATCACTCACGTAATGGTTGAACTGCCGCTTGCTTTCCCAGTACTACCTGATCGACGGGAATTTCTCCATTTTCATGAAAATGTATCGTTCCAATGCTATCTAATCTTTTCTGTCATTGCTGAGTTTTCCTTTCAAGTCATTCACCTCATCATCGGGATCTTTTTGCATGCACACACACACACACATCCAGGGCGAGTCGTCTCCTTGCATGTGCAGTACCTCGGCATGTTCCAGCCTTCTTCTCGCAGGCAAGTTCGGCGCGGCCCGATCGCAACATCGCTGGAACCAGCACTAGTGCAAAGCAGGCGGCTTCACTTGCTCGCCATCTGCATCACACAGGCAGACTTTCAAGCTGCCGACAGACAGGGCTGCTTTTGAAGACTTATCGGCTCAGAAGAAAGGTGCGGATAGGTGCGTTGACATGAGCTCTTGAAGCCAATGCGTAGGCAATGTCCTGCTTTGCGGGAAGTTGCTGAGGGACGCAGTATTTACGAAGAGAAATTCGAGAAGCACCTACGAATCCGAGCATTTTCGCCGCTTGTTCCACTACCACCTGTTGTACGACTGGGGGAGTACTTGCTGCAGTGGCTCTGGACTTATGTCTGGCATCTTCCCTTGCAGACGATACGACTCACCGGCTTCTTTACTCGGCTTGTTCTCTACGTTGTTTTCCTCTTTCCTGGCATGATCTTTGGACTAGTGTACTGGGCCTTTGCTGGTGAAGACATCATCAGCGTGAACTACAAGGCAGGGTCAAATCCTTTGACGAACACGCGTTTGATTTTGACATGTTTTGCCGGACTCGAGTTCGATTAGCTCGCTTGCCGCCTGAGGAGAAGGGAGGACGCCGCCACACCTGCGATATCTACCTACCAAGCTACAATGGTGGGCAGCCTCAGAAAGCACCAGCAACCTGACTCGGACGTGGTTTTGACCTGCTTTGCCTTGTTCGGTACGTACTGTAGCTGCCCGTCTAAATCCCGTATGCAAACAGACTCTGACGCAGTCGCAGATTTAGATCTGCCTAATGTCCTTGGCATTGGGGGCTCGTTGGGCCAACCGAGGGACCCGCGAAGTAGTGGCAGTGGCAGTATCTCTGCTTTGAATCAAGCCAAGGTCATGATCATCATCCCTGGTGGCGCTTTCATTCTTGGCCACAAGGGCTATGTGACCATGCTTTGTAGAGCGCTGCGAAGTGTTGGATTTCTCTGCATTGCCGTCGATTACCGCTACTGGCCTCAAACGACAATTGACGGGATGGTGGAGGATGTGAGCGAGGCTGTTGCATGGTCGATGCAGCACTGTGAAACATATGGTGGCGATCGGAAACAGATAGGGCAGCTTGTCAGAAGAGCTTTCCAGTACCAGTAGAAAGTTCCATAAAACTGCAGTATAGCGGGCACTTACAATTTCCTTGCAGGGCTGCTGGCAATTGTCCATGCAAGGATGTTGGGACTGTCATCTGGTGCACACGTTGCTGCACTCCTTCTTACACGTCGTGCAGCGCAAGAGAAGAAGATGTCATTGCCAGGCGCAGACAGCTTTCTTGTGTGTTTCTGGTTTGTGCTCAAGGTTCTCGAGAGTTTCCGATCTCTCGTGCATACTGAGACAGATTGTGGCAGCTAGTATCCGTCAGGTCAGTTGTGGTCGACATCAGACCTGCTTGGCTTCATTGGTTTGGGTGGAATCTACGAGTTGCATGGCCCCTTCATGTCACACTTGCATGCCAAAGGCATCGATTTCGTGTTGCAACGCCTCGTGATGGGGGAAAGTGAAGCCGTGCGTGAGAGCCGATCGCCAAGTCTTTTGATTCGACGGGATAAAGAACTGGGCGCCCGCATGCCTCCGGTGCTTTTGGTGCATGGCACCAGCGACAAAATTGTTCCGCAGGTTGGGCTTGGGGTGGGCTTGGGGTATCTTGGGGTTCATTCATAATACACTAAACTTCCAAACCCTAAGCCCTAAACCTGAACCCCTAAACCCTGCCCCAAAATTGTTCCGCAGGAGCAGTCGGAGACATTTGAGCGCGCTTTGTCTGCTGCTGGCGTAGACGTGGAACTGATCTTCAGCAAAGGAGAGGGCCACAACGACCCCGTGATCCACTGCCCACTAATGAGCAACCACAACACGGTCAGGGCGATCCTCCTGGCCATGCAACGCTGGAGTCCACGGAACAGTTCGGAGGAAATCATGTTCCAAGCCTTGCCAACCTGGCCTCGAACTCCCCTATCTGTTTGAGGCTGAGAATGTTACCCTCATTTCTTGACTCATCTTAAGTCTTACCTCATTTATGTTTGCTTGCTTCACCATCTTTATCACCTGGCATCAACGCTGAGGTCATCCAAGTGGCGCGCCTCTTGACTCCATTTTGAGATGACTATGGCATCAATTATGCGGCTATTCTTAGCGAGGCGTCATCTTTGTAGATGTTCGTAGCGGCTGTTTAACTCAAAAATTGCTGAAAACCATGGAGCTGGCAAGCGAACCCGTTCTCATCTTTCTTGAGAACATCGTGATGCCTGGCTCTCTCCTGGAATGAATGTTCTCTAGCGTTCCTGGTGCAGGTAACTGCACTCTGAATACTCTCGCATGACTCGGCTTCAAGCCGTTACCTCGCTTTCCGAATCGTGCGGGGGCAGGGAAAAACAAGATCGTCTTTGGCAGGACGCAGGCATTGAAACGATGCTAGAAAAGTGTAGTCGAAGTGTCGGTGTAGTGAGTGAGCGTGTCGATTCGGGTGTCAGCAAACAGCTGGGCAAATTGTGAAGCACTTATAGCAACTAACCGTAGCAACTTAAGTAACGCAAGAGTAATGAGCATTTCTTCCCAACACTCGTTCACCTCGCTCTAAGCGCAGTGCAGGCGGTGCAAAGGCTGCAAGCCCGAGTGAACTTTGATCCGTTGCCAAGAGCTGGAAGCATGAGCTGGGCACACAGTAATAGGCTCGTGGAGAGGCATTGAGCAGCTTGGAATGGCGCGACATTGTGAGGCCATGCTGCGCAGAATTCTGCGGTTCAGAGCGAGCGCAAGGCCAGCTCCATGTCTGTCTGCCAGAGCCAAGGTCATCTCATGCCAGAGCGAGTTCATCTACGGTTGTTCTATTGAAACTATTGAACCGGGCCGGTGGAATCCACGCGATTCGGACCCCTGATCGTGTCGCTGCACGCGGCCAGTAGCAGTATGTAGCAGCGACAGCGTCTGTATCATTCTCTGCTGCCTGTCAATGGAGGCTCCTCTCATGAGGGAACGTTTGATGCTTCGCTCGGTGCTCGAGCGTGACAACAGGGGTTTCGAAGCTTTTGTGTGTTCTCGCGCTATAGTTTCTTGCATTCGTGCTTTGAGCTAGCGCCAGTTCATGTCGGCTCCAGACAGCGCATGCACAGCGGCCTGCTATGACACGTGTTGGGGCCCTTGGGTGAGGGGATCGCGGGGCTCTCGGGGCCAGGTATGACTGCAGTTTGGCATGTCTAAGCCCGACCTGGCGTGGGTCTCGCACAGACAGTTGGCATCGTGTTTCGACTTGGGGCCAGTTGTTTCGACCCCGCGCAACGAAGTTTGAGACCGCTTTGCTTGGAAGCTGTTTGATCCCTCGGCTGCGCCCTTTGGCAAAAAGTGCCCCCGTGGGGATAGAACTATGCATATCTATGCATAACTCTGCAAATGGCATGGCTTTTCACACTCGTCATGCGCTGCTTCTGGTGTCCTCGCGCGGCCGGACCTGATTTTCTCCCACCGTCGAGCATTGCTGTTGAGGCTGCTTTTGAGGTTTATAGGGGTTCAGGCCTTGATGTGACGACTCTCACTCTTGCTTGCGGGTGATGTGATCTTTTCTGGCTACAAGTTGCATCCGTCGACCTCGGCATGACTTCAGGAGAAAACAAAGTAGCGCAAGTAATACAAAGTACAAAGTACAAACCTCCATGATCAACTCTGCATTGCAAGATGTTGACTCTTGAAATTTCTGGCAGGCGGCAGCATTTAGAAATCTTGGGCTGACGCAAGACTCCCGAGCGCGCTGCTGAGGAAGTTCTTGATCTTTGGGCTCTTGGCTTGTGTGTTATTCAATCGTCGCAAGACTTGAGGCAACCGTGGAGCAAGTCCTTGACTCCAGAACAATGCATGTTCTGAGCAAGTTTCTCAAGCGGGGCCTGTTTGTCCGAGCCTGAGCTGCTGCAGGACTATTATCGGAGGCAAGCGCCAGTGTTGCAGCGTACTAAGGATGAAATTCATGGTTGCATCAGTACGGGCAAGGAAGCAAACGCCAATGGCTCAGTGCTTCACGGTGTGAAGGCTTCTGCCGAAATTGTTGAACGAGGTTTACTACGCAACATCTGGAGATGGCATCGAGCGCGCGGTGAAAGTGGGAAGCTCGATCCCAATGCGACTGCCCGACTGGAATTGGCTTACATATCGCAAGTTGCCTTGTTTCAAGCCACAACCTCACGTCTGAGCAGCTGTCAAAGTTCAGCAGGGTAATTGGTAATTGTCAACATTGCTGCCAGCATACAAGTTTACAGTTCCCTTTGTGGGACTTCATAGTTTCGTACCGCAGCTCCTCTCGCACAAAGTCTACCGCGACAGCTGCGCTGGCTCTGAGTCAATATGAATGACAAATCGATCGTTAGCAAGCATATACATGGCGTTTGTACATGTAACTGGCGCCGGGTGACTTTATTTGCGACTCGACACAGGGTTTGTAACAAGGCCGTTCTTCATCCGACAAGCTTCCGCGACAAACCCGTCCTTGCAACTATGTTGCAACTGGGGCCCGGAACGAGCTGCGACACAAATATGACACAACAAAGGTATGCAACAGAGGCGGGGGGCGGGACTCTGCGACACACCCCTATTTAGACCAGCAGCCCCGCAGGGGCCCAACCCATGAGGAGGGGGAGAGGTGGGGATGTGGCTCGAACCTTTGGCGGGGGTTTGCGGGCTTGGTCGGGTCGGGCTTGAGGAGGTTAAGCTTGTGACGTTCATTCCATGTACAGACTGGGGGTGCATCCTAGGACTTTATCCATACACATGGCAAATGTCGCATCTGCACTTTCAATTTTTGTGGCACCGTCATGATATGTATATACTTAATCCATACACATGGCAAATGTCGCATCTGCACTTTCAATTTTTGTGGCACCACCCCTCTGTTTTATTTTATTTTTTTGGTGGCACGTCGCATCTGCACTTTCAGTTTTTGTGGCACCGTCATGATATGTATATACTTTATCCATACACATGGCAAATGTCGCATCTGCACTTTCAATTTTTGTGGCACCGCCCCTCTGTTTTATTTTATTTTTTTTGGCGGCACGTCGCATCTGCACTTTCAATTTTTGTGGCACCGTCATGATATGTATATACTTTATCCATACACATGGCAAATGTCGCATCTGCACTTCAATTTTTGTGGCACCGCCCCTCTAATTTATTTTAATTTTTTTTGGCGGCACCGCGCCTCATTATTTTTTGGTATATATGTACTTCGGTTCAAAGGTTCAGCGCCAATCATTTTTTTATTCTCAGTTTTTGCATCTCCATTTTTGCGCCGCCCCCAATCTCTTGCCTCTCTGTTTCTGAAGTCTTGCTGAATAAAATACGGATACATGCACGCAGATATAACGTATACTTTGTCCTTTCACTATTGTATATGATCCATTCAACTGACTGGAAGAGTCAAGTATAGTACGTATTCTTTGCTGGTTTTTTTGGTGGCAGGTTTGTTAATGGCAATGCCCCCATTTCCAACGCCCCTTTTGGGATCGCTATAATAATTAGTAGGTTGTTAGCGTTTTTTTTGCAAGCAGATTTGTGATCTTGTCCTTTCGGCTAGTGATTTGTTAGTGATTTTTTTGTGAGCGGCTATGGCCACCCTGTGCTTCCCTCCAAATCTATACGATGCCTCCTCTAACTTCGCAATTGTCTCTTTACATTCTTGCTAATTTCTCACTATTTTCTTGCAAATCTCTCACTAAGATCCGTCTAGTCCCAAAGTTTCTTGTTTTCTGGTTCGATGGTTTTCCGAGGGAACTAGCAAGAAATTAGCAAGAACTTAGCGAGAAATAAGCAAGAAATTAAAGAGAAATTAGCGAGAATTTAGTGAACGATTGCACAAGAGCCTGAAACGCCCAATTTTCTCACAATTTCCTCACAAAACTCCGGCTAATTTCCTGCAGATTTCTTACAATGTTCTATCTACTGGTCGGAAACTGCTTGCAATTTTCTCGCAATTGTTCTCACAGTTTTCTCGCAAGCATTTCTCTATTTTATTATTTCATGATTTCCAGTCTGTACATGACCCGTCACAAGGTTAAGCAGGGGTCCCTTCAAGGTTTGGTTTGCTGGGTTCACAGGGGCGGGTCAGAGGGGTTGGCAGGTTGACGGGGTTGGCAGGATTGACTGCGACGGGGTGGGCTTTGACGGACTTCGCTGGGTTGGCGGAGTTCTTAGGTGCGTTTGAGGGTTTTCTACCCCCGTCTCTTGATTCTCTTGACAGTAGATTAGTTAACTATTTGCAGCATGCAGGTTCAGGGCCCCCTTCAATACCCGAGACTGCGCAAGAGCACGCAAGGCCGAAGCACAAGGGCCAGCTATATCCCAGCAACTTAATTGGCCTTGAAAGTGGAAATGTGCTGAAAGCTAAGTCCTCGCAAGAGCGTGCAAGGGCGAAGCGCATGAGGAATTTCGGAACAGGCAGCCGAACTCGAGTAAAGAACAAGATTCTTCGTTTATGGCCGTGAAGAGGCAGTTGCCGCATAGCATGTCGATTTACATTGGTCTTGAAGTTCCCTCAATTTTCGAACATGAGGTTTATGTTGATCTCGACCATATGTCGTGAAGCAGCCTGCTGTCGCATAGCCTGGGAAGGGGGGGGGGTAAGGAACCAGCATGAACCAGCCTTGTTTCACCGGCTGGCACCGCCCGGTTTTTGCAGGGTCTTGCAACCAACGTGTCCGCTGATCCTGCTGAAGACGGTTGGGCTTTGTTTCGCTGTCGTCTTCGGCACTGAGAACTTTCATGTCGTTCAGGTCTACAAAACGTCCATCCTCGTCTTCAAGGACAGGGCGCGGTATGTCGAAGGCGAGTTCCGCTTCCGGCAGGCATGGGGTGCGGAAGAGATTTCCCGAAAGAAGGTTGCGTGAAGTTGGTTGAGTCTCCTTCAAGAGAACCTGGCCAGGGCTACTGCAAGGGCAACCCGAGAAAGATGGTAGCCCAGTGGGCGGAGAAGGACAAGAGAAGTCTCAAAGACATGTGCACGATTAAGCAATGCCAAGCATAAAACCCAGAAAACAGACAGTATTGACTCAGTATTTACTCAGTATTAAGACTAAGGAAAGCACCCTGCGACCCACGGTCATACAGTATCTCGGTTTTTGACAGTTTAGACATCGTGCTTCATGAGCGAAAAACTACGTGGACCAGTACCTCCCCAGACTCGTACAGAAAACCTGGACATCCCCGCTGCCAGTGGCAAGTGTCCAAGAAAGTGCAGATGCCTTCATCCTCTGCCTCTCACCATCTGAAACCCATTCCTGTTTGCGTCTGCTTGTGTGGTTGCTGTCACGTTGTTGTCATGCAATTTCGCACCCGATAGGCAGCCGCATTCGGGAAGCTGGGTCGAGTGTGACATAGTGCGACTTTTGTAATGGGTCGAGAGCAGATGCTGTTCGAGCTGTGTTGGGTTGCAATAGGCTGAGGAGCAGGACATGTGGACACACAAATGCACGGGAGTGACGAGAGGGGCACGGTGTGTGCGAAGCTCTAGAACACATCAGACACTAGGCTTAGCAAGAGCTTTCACGTCCGCCTGGCCTCCCGCCACATACTACACTACCCCACCATACAAACGGACTCAGAGCAGATCCTGATAAACCTTGATCCGATCCTGGCAGCCAAACCCCAGTGAAGCTGTCAGCCATGCCGACAGGGCCGCAAGTCCTCAGCGGGCAAAGCACCGGCCCAAATCAAAGCTCCTCCCAACACATGCCCAAGGCAGCTCTATGGGAGGTAAAGATAGCTACACGGTTAATTCCCCCCCCCCCGCCCCCCCTAGTACCTCTGCAGGCTAAACATCCCAGCTAGCCCGAGCGACCCACCCGGCCAATCACTTTGAGCTCCCAAAGGCTGCTTTTTTGCAGCTATTGGGAGTGGGGATGTCCTCCACGAAGGCATCCCGTACCAATGTTGTTTTCTCTTGTAAGGCGGTCCATACACATGTCCCGGGGTTTCGAGTGGCCAAGATCAACATCACAAAGGCAATGAACGAGACTGCATGACAAATGGTCACTTCGACTCCACCCAACTCATTGGCTTGCTGGACACTTTCCCAAGATTTGCAGCAGCACGACTTGCCTTTGCAGGAAATGCGAAATCTTCGCAGACTTGCAGCAGTGGGCATTCCGTGTCCAGAGGCAGGAGCATCCCAATATTCTCACCTTAGGCTTCAAAGCATGAATGTGCGACTAATTCATACGTGGGCTGTACTTGTCCGCGCTGTCAGCACAGGTGCTTGATGTTCGGCAGAATGTTTTGGTGATGGAGTTCCTTGGTCAAGATGGAAATGCTGCTCCGCGGCTCAAGGCCAGGGGACGTGCTAAGATGATGACTGCTGCGTTATGACCGGCTCTAGACAGCTGGTACGCACGACTTGTGCCAATGTGTGCGAGATAGTGTCAGGATGCTGAGGGTCTCGATGCCCTTTCCTGGGACCAGCTGTACATGGACTGCGCCCTTCTGATGAGAGCAATGCGCCGCCGCCCTGTTTTTGCCTTGCACAGCGCGTGTGTGTTTCGAAGGCTTCACGTAAATGCACCTTTGCGCTTCAGATATCCGAAGGATGCAGCGTTGCAAGCTGGTGCACGGAGATCTCTCGGAGTACAACATGCAGGGGCCCCATCTGGAGTGATATGTGCTGTGGGGGGTGTGGTTGCCCCAAGTATCGCATGGTCTCCAAGAGTGCGCTCAACCAGCAACACAGACATGGAAACAGCAGCAACAGCTCATGCACCAAATGGAAATGGACTTGGCTCTTTTGGGAGACTCAGGCACGTCCAAAGTTTCCACTTCAGAGCCCTCCAGGGGTATTCAGAGCGTAAATCGAAGAACGCTAAAACCCTGCATCCTAAACTTGCAGACTCTTGCCTGGACTTGAAAAATCCAACCACTGAGGCTTCATCTGGGCTGGGGGACGCAGGCGTAGGTTGCAGGCTGAAACAAAGTGGTGTGTGTTTTCAGCTTTCGGGGTGGGCCCCTGTTGTCGTTGGGGCTCCTGACGGAGCCCTGCAAATCCTCTGAAGGCCCTTGAAGGGCCTCTCACTCTCAAGGCCCTTGAAGTACTTTGGCAGGCGAGCAGAAGGCCCAGCCGAATCCAAGACGCATCAAGACGCTGTTCCTGAGATGCGGCACGAAACTGCTGTCGTTTTAATTGCAAGCCGCTTCCTTTGAACAGGTGGAACTTTTCGGTAAGCAAAGCATGATCATGCATAATTCTGAAAGTCCCCAGTGACCGTGCAGTGCCAGACAACGATCGGACAAGTCACCGTGAAGCGTCGAAAAGCGCAGGCTCGTTGAGCTCGTTGTGTCTGGAGCGTGATTTGGCGCGGCCGTGCGGTGCAGTGAGAAGCCTTTTCGGATGGTTTCAAGCTCTGTGCTGGAATCCGGAATGCTGGTCATGTTGACAGATCGCGCCGTTGCTTCCTGAACTATTTATTGGGTAAGATGCGGTGAATGTAAAGATATCGGTCTTTAGCACGTCTGCCACGTTTACCTTTCAGGCAGGGGACTCCCTTTGTTCACTGTGCCTTTCAAAACGACTTAGTTGTGGTGGTTCTTTCTTGGTTGCGTTGGCGTTTTGTTCACATCGCCACTGAGGATGTTCCTCAAGCATCCATCAGTTTCACTGACCTGCTGCCAATACATCTGACCTGATGTTCCCACTTGCCGAGGCTGTACAACGATGCCAAACTGTACATCATTGATGTATCCCAGTCCGTGGAGAGCGACCACCCGCAAGCACTGGACTTCCTCAAGAGGGATTGCGTGAATGACGCTTGGACATTATTTCCTAAACCTTGTGCTGTTCTGGCACATCGCCAATCCATGCGAGGTCAACAACTTCTTTGCCAAACGCATGTCAACAAGAGTGTTGCCAGTGAAGCGCTTGTTCGACTTCGCTCGCAACTCGGTGGGACCTATGGTTGTCTACAAATGTCAGCACGGCTTTTGAACTCTCAGGTTGTCTCACGTGAGCTGCCAAGGCCTCCCGAATCCCCCCGACACCTTTTGCGATGTTTGTGCGGGCTCGACGCAGCAGTGAACGGAGTTGATCTGCGTCTGTGACGTGTCAGGCTTGGCACATCTGGGGCGATATATGATGATGACTCCGAAGCTTTCAAGGCAGCGGCGTCGACACAATGGGGAACCAAATGCCATTGCGCAAGCCTGTTCTTTAGCTGGAACAATATACAACAGGTTGCAATCATCTTTTCTTGTACTTGGATTTTTTTGGGCACTCTTTGGAGGCATTGATGGATGCAGCGGAAAATGGGGACTTTGACCAAGAGGATGCAGATGACGAGGTGCTTTGGATGTGCTTTTGGTGTGGAGTCTGAGTTTAAAGACGGTGCAGGTCAGCCTCGAAACATTGACTGAGGTGTTCATACAAACCTGGATTCCTAGCAATCTCAATCAGGCCCTTGTTGCAGACAAGATGAGAGACCGGAGCAGGGGAGAAAGGGAACATTCGACAGGTTTCTGACCAACGCTCCTTGGACCGAGAGCTTGAGAAGAGGCAGCGCGGGGAGGAAGCATTGTCCTCAGACATTGCCAGTATCCCCACGCATGCTGCGCATGCGGCGTGCAGTGTGTCTAGCGTGCACAGCGTGCCCAGCATGCCCAGGTGCTCTATGAACGACTCCTAGCATGTGACGAAGCAGCGAACGAGGAGGACCTGAAGCTGGATGGTATAGTAACTGCTGTTGTTTACAGTAGGGCTGGGTTTTGAATGCGAAGCCGTGCCTGCAACTAAATGGTCTAAGCCCCTTTCCTTGCCAGTGATGGTCCAGTGATCCCTCAATCAAGTGATGATGAGTTGTTGGATGTTGTTGGCTCAGCCAGGAAGTAGCAAGTACCTCTGAAGCGAAGCAGATTGCAAACAACAGCGATGACAACGATGACGAGTCTGACTCAGAGGCTGAGCACGATGAAACCAAGAACGACGGGTCAGTGCCTTAGCACATGAGTCATGCTACCGCATCCGTGTGCATTTTCGGCTCTTATGCAAGTCTGCAGTTGGACAAGCTCAGCTCCAACTGACGTTCAGACTGCACAGAACAAATGATAAGCATGTTCGAGGCACAAACCAGATGGAATGGACAAGGCCAGAATTAGAATTATTTGGGAGTGCGGGGGCGGCAGGGAGCGGAGTTCGTGCAGAACACCTTGCAACGCAGGCTGAATGGAAACGAAAGGCAAGCATCGTGCACGGCTTCAACTTGAACACAATCGTTTAAACACGCAGCTTTGGAATCTGAAGGTGAAGGAGGAAAAGCGCGAGAAGCGCAAGGACAAAGTGCCGAAGGCAAGAAAGGTTAGGGCTATAAACTTGACTTGGCATCTGCAAAATCATGGATACCTGTTCCTATAGCATGGTGCGTGCATGGCACAGACAAGAAAGAGAGTCAAACAATTGACGGTACGTGGCAAAGGCTCTCAAAAAGAAGTTCCGCAAGCAGGCTGCGCGTGCCTTAACACGGGTCGATATTTGAAGCGCTCTTCCTTCGAGCTTCTCTAGTGTGAGTTTATGCTGGATGTGCAACTTGCAAGAAATTCTGAGGCGCAAGGTCGATGAAGCTTGCTTCATCTTGACAAATGCAATGCAGGGACATGCTGGGACAGAGATGTTTCTGGGACACGATGATGTGCAAGTACATGGGTGTCGTGTTTCCCGGTGAGATGTACAAAGATGATTCGTGTTCGTTTAAGCGAGCTGTACAAAACCACGGAGGGCAAAAGCCGAATGGTACGTCGAAGCTGAGGCTTGATTTTCGGCAACCTGCAGACGGTTTCCATGTTCGGCATGTGGCATGTGCTGCTGACTGCATTTGCCCTCTGTTCGCCCTACTTTGCCTCGATGCTGCGCTGTCTCACGAGCGGCGTGCCCACCCCAGTAAGACCGCAGCACCGCAGCATTTAGGCCGATCCTCGGATCTGTGGGATCGGGCTCAGTTGGACAAACAAAAAGGGCATTATCATGCGGATGTAGGAGGACCATACTGTGCCATCCTCTGTTGGTCTGTACTGTGCACTAGGCAGAAGCACATTCAGCAAGGTTTCCGTCGGAGGGTTCCCTGGGTGTTGCCAGTTCATGCAAAACGGAGATTTGCCAGCTTGAAGGTGTGGCGCGAAAGCCCGCTATGGTGTTCGTGCAAGTAGAGTGAGATTCCACGAAGGTGTTAACAGCCTGCTTTCTGCAGGCTTTAGGCTGGAACATATGTGTGCAAAGTTTCGGTCGCCTTGAGACTCGCAAAGCATGCGACTAATCCGCAAAGCCGCACCGCCAAATTTCGTGAAAGCTTCGCCTGGGTTTCGCAGAAGTCCTTGTAAGCCAGGCAGGTCCTGGAGTCCTGGACTTCGCGTCTAGAGTCTAGGTTGCTAATCCGAAGATCATCGTTGCTCTATGTTGAGCTGATCGTGTTCATCCGCCGTCCACGCCCCGGGAGTTTGGGATGCCGGCGACCTTTGGAGATACCAGTTTCAGGCAATGGAGTTTCAGGCTTTGAGGCTGGGCTTAGAGAGGTCTGGGTAGGGTTTCTTGCAGAGAGTAGGGAGCACCGGGTAGGCTCATGATGGCTCATGATTCATCTTGAACACTGGGCAGCCATCGCGGTGCTACAAGCTTGCAGAGCATCTTCTTGGCAAGTCGCGTTTGCACTGCGTTTCGCTGCAACAGCATGCCCATTCATCAGAACACCTTTAAATTTCATGACAGCAGAGAGACAGTTCCCGTGGGTGCATTGAGTTAGACAGTTTCAGACCACACACAAGCATCGTCAGCATGTCATCATGTGACCTCGGCGGCCTCTGATGCCATGCCCCGGTCACGTTCACGGTGGTGCAGGGCCTGCAGCCATTCTAGCTGGGAACTGATTTTTGTGGCGCCAATTCCTTTGTTCCCGCTCCTCCTGGACTTTTTCAGAGCATGCTGTCACCCGGCACAGGCCTGGTAATTGCTGCGGCTACAGCGGCGGCACTGGGATCTTTTTTGCATCTCAACGCAGCTCTCTGCCAAGGCTGGTCCTGAAGCAGCATGTCGCACCTACCGTCATCAAATTGCGAAAAATTGAAACTGCAGCTGGACCTTCTATTTTTAAAATCTAACAACATCTCACAGGGATGGTGCCAAGCAATTGCAACGGGCGGAGCCTGATTGGACCATCGTCGCCGATGGGCAAGGCTAAGCGGCTATGCAAGGTTCAAATGCAGCAACCACGAAGTTACGAAGGTCTGATGTCCACATTCCATGCATGTTCCCAGATTGCAATGTTACTAAAAGCCCAGCTGCTTCTTGACCTGATGACCAATACTGTACCTTCTCGCGTCACTGTTCAGTTTCCCGTTGCGGTCGCAGTTGTAATGGCCGTTGGCCGTTGTCGTCGTTGTTGCCGCCGTCGCTATGCTGTCGCTGCATCATGGGAGGAATTTCGACAGGCACAGTGACAGGAGCACAGTATTAACTCGTAGTACCAGTGTCAGGAGCAGAAGCAGCAACGGGCATTTTCTGCGAGGGCGCATGTCCGGCCCTTCAGGCCAAGGAGCTCCGGGGCCTCGAATTCGTCTTGTGAGGCGCATCTCTGGCTGTCTACATCTGAAGCGCAGATTTGCGAATGTTTAAATTTTTAATCACCCCTGAAGTCTGGCATCAAGGACTCATGCTGGTGGTGATGCCTTGGAGGGAGCCTTGTCGGGCCTAAGGCCAGTCGGTCGATTCCGTGTAAGTCCGTTTAGTACATAGTAGTGTAGACTTCTTACAGTATTTTTTTGCAGTAACCCAACCCCACCATCCCCCCCCTCCCCCGCGAATGATGGCCCTGCACAGGCGAAATTTCCTGGAAGTATCAGATGAGCTGGAGCACACTTCCTGCGGGCTCTCACAGGGAGGTTAAGAGCCAGCATTGTCCGCGAACCAGGAGCAATGGAAACCGCTTCTGGAGTCGTCAGCCGAGTCTCATTCAACCAAATACCGAAATCACAAGGGTGAGATGATATGGCCTGAGGCGCATGAACGACCGTATGATGCTGATTGAGGACGGTTTGGAAAGCGCTCAAGACAAGGCAGCTTCAAGCCATTCGTGTAGTACATGGTGCCAGCATTGGTCAAGTCGTAAGATGCAGCCTTTTACGAATAGTAACGTTATGTGCTTGTTGAAGGTAGATATTGTGTCACATTCCCCAGCTGCTCCAGCTCTATGGCTTGCACTTATTGTCGTGATTTTCGCTGCTCTCCTCCTTGGCTTCATCGGCATCTACTGCATCTTTACACTTCGGCTGTCGTCAAGGCAGGGCCTGAGCAGAGGATTGACATGGACCATCCATGCTCTGCTGCATTTCTGGCATTTCTCTTTTCATATCAATAATGCACACATGTGCACAGCGCAATCTGCCTTACCGAGGCCTATCAAAGAGGTGAAGAGACCGGCTTTGCGGGCAGTGCTGCACGCCTTAGCGATGGATTCTCCAGCCCCAGATAGAAGATTGGATGCAGAGGTGCCGCACATCCACATGTCTTAGTCGTCGCTCCATCTACATTCCTGTACATGTAATGACTGACCTCTGACCGGCCATGGCCCATAGCAAGTGCATGTGTCGCAGTAGTTGAAACTTCACTTGCTATGCTGATATGTTCACATGTGTTCGCATGAATGTTGTGTGATAGCATGGCGAGAACAATGCGACACTACATGTGACATCATGTGACAATCTCATGGTTTCGGAATGTTTGGGAGGTAATGCGGAGAACCCTGGGCATCTTGCGGACGATTGCGCCCCCTGTCAGTTTGGGCGAGGGCCTCGTTGCGGCGATGCAACGTGAACAAGAACAGCGAGCAGCGGCCCTTCATGGGCCACCAGGCTAGTATTGCGATGTTATACGCGCTGCGACTGTTTGACAACCGGGTTCTGGCCCATCCGAGCCTCGCCAATTCTGGCATCATTGATGTGAGGTATTCCAGGGTGCACTTCAAGAACCGGAGAGACTTTGATGGACCGTGGGATGTCGAAGCATCAACGATGGGGCCGGCAGCGGAGGTGTCCGTTGCACTTGAGGCAGGGCCGAGCGGGCAACTTACGAGCTGTCATGCCGACTTTGGAGCACGTTTTCCCCACACCTGGAATACAAATCCTGTGCAGACGTCTATGTGTGCCAGCCCAACCGAAGAAAGGCAGCAAATATCAGCAAATGGATTGCTCCGAGTTGTCGTATGATCAACGGCCAGGCAATGGACGTACGCATCCGACAGCGGATGCTTAACCTTACAGAGCCACCTCAGTTGGCGGCTTTCGCAGCACACCTGCTTGAAGAGCTGACACAGGCAGCCTTAGCACATAATCACATCATAGCACGACGCATCAATGCTCGATCTGTAGGCAGGAGAGACACATGCTGTGCAGAGGCACCCAACAAGCCTTTGCCGGAGGTTGCCGAAAAGGCGGGCGAAATGGTCCTGCAGGCACCGAACTCAACCCTCGCAAGATACCTTCTATTTGCGGATTTCAGTTTAGAGTCAGTACAGTAGCTGTTCGCAGCAGTATGGCTCCGTGTGTCCGAGTTTTGCCCTGAAGGCCTTCACATCACCTGAAGACCACCGTGCTTTAATCATTGCTCTGAATATTGCCGCCAGAGCATTGCCGGGAAACCGATGGCGCTTCAAGGACCTTCGTTTACGAATTTCTGAATGAACATGTTCACTTGATGGATGTTTGGACGACACGGGTAGGAGGCAAGCCTCTGCAGCCTAATGCGATTGGGCGCCGATTCTCGCGCCATCGTGGCTGCCCGGCGAGACTAGGACTGAAGCCGTCTTTCTTCCAGCCTGTCCTGTGTACATGAGGCCTTGCTGCTGCACGATCTCGACGAGTGCCTTGGACAATCCTGGGCCGTGGTCTCCAAGGCAGAGAACGAAAGCATTCTGCAGGGCTCTGGAGGATCTAGGTAGCCCACATCTTGCAATTCCCTGTTGCAGGTTTTTGCTTGCTGTCCTGAACTTGGGGAAGAGGTTGTCAACCTCATTGATGAGAAGAAGAGGCTCAACTCTGGCATGACCGGCAGTGCCTGTCATGACCAAATCCTGCAATCAGGCTTGAACAGCTGGCCTTGCTTCTTTATTTGCGAGCGCTGGCAGAGGACTCAATTGACACGATGTTGCATGGTTCCATATCCCCTTCCCCTATTGACAACTTCCCCTCCCTCTCGGGCTTCGGGTTTTTGCGGCTTGGAACGCGCTCAACCACACCAACCACACCCTAACGTTTAGTGGGCTTGAAGGCCGTCTGCTCCTGGAAAGGGTCGGGCTCACGGTTTCTTGTAGAGGGTGAGATAGTGCTAAAAATGTATTGACCGAAAGCCAGAACATTTGAGGGAATCTGTTGTCTTTGTCCCTCGTCGTCAGGACAGCGCAGCTCATCACGGACAGGTTGGTCCATAAGATCAGCTAGCTGTGCACAAGTTGCACAAGTTGCACAAGCGGATAGTCTCATCAGTCCAATGTGCTGTGCAGCGGTGTGGCAAGGGCGTAGGGCAATAGGGAACATCTGCATGCGTGCGGTTGTGTTCATCATCCGTCCTGGTCCTAGCCCAAAGTCCAAGTATGTCCAAGTCTACAAGTTGGGTGGACAGTTGGGGGAGCACCAGGTTGAATAAATGTCGGCAAGTTACTGAGTTACTGATGGCACGTCCGAGTTGGCTGTATGGGTCCACGCCGTTCCATGGTGAAATCGCAGGGCAAAACCCCTTAAAGAGCCTAAAATTGCAAACGCTGCGCGTCGATCACTGAAAAAGACCTTCCAGCGGCCTGGGGCAAACAAAGAGGGGGTTCCTATGCAAACCTCTGACGCCCATGGCCAGGGCCGAGGCGAACTATCCTAAACTATGCGAAAGAACTCGACAAATCGAGTTGCTGCAGGTGCAGCTTGCCGCTTCGCAGCTTACTCGTTTGCTGTACCTGCGATGCTCCAAGGACGCTACGTTGAGTCCACACCCATCCGAACCCAAGCCAGTCCATTAGATTAGAGATCCTGGCGGTAAGCTACAAGCAGCAAGTTGTCCTATGCATCAGGACTTTCGGGCTGCAATGGTTGAGATCGCAGAGGTGTCGGCCTCAGCTCCCAGGAGCAAACGCTGCACTTGTTCCGCCTTTGTTGCAACGCCTTTCATGCAAGGTAGAGCAGATTCTGCGCAATCTCTCCACCGCAGTGGCGAGCAGATTTGGCCTTCCTGACGAGGGACGGGCTTTGGCTCGTTGTGCCCCTGGGATTTGAACTTCCATGTCACCTGCCACACCTCAGCCTAATACGATCGCGCAAGACCCGGTGCCTAAGGCTTTGGATTTGCATGTGCCCTTGGCCCATGGCCTTGGCTTCGATGCTTTGGCTGCTTGTCGCTTCAGTTTCGCTTGGGCATCGATCCGGTTCGTGTCTCCGTTTCAGGAATCACTTTCGACACCTCATAAGGCCCACAAAGGCAGCGTCAACGAACGAATCACGCCGTCGCTGGAAAATCGCGCCTTGCGATTGTATTTTCCGGAGGAGTACAGCATGATTGAGGCACTTGTGTTGTGCAATGTTGTGCATTAGAGCATCGGTACGCGTACAGCATTGCTGCTGAATCTCCTCCTGATTGTAGACGTTCTTGTGGTCTCCGGGTTCCTCTCTTTCACCACACACTGTGTCCGGTGTTCGGCGTACAATGAAGAGTACCGGGTCGAAAGCGCGAACATGCAAGTGCTGGCATTGTTACCAAAGCATCATCAGGAAGCATTTTGCGTTCATCTTCAAGATTTGCAAAACATGGGCACAACACACGTATCACCCTCCTGCAATCTACCGAGCGATGTTCTTTTCAAGTGGTGTTCTGAACGTTGATGATTGTCGAATGGAACGTGCCCAGGGCCTTCTCGACGTGCGCTTGCTGGCGATGTTTCTTGATCAAGCCATGAGACCGGTGATTCTCTAGGTAGTGCCGTGACGTCCTCGCTAACGGGGTTTTGGGTCTTTTCAAATTGCTGTATCCTTTCAGCATCTTTCAGCTTCCAAATCGTGGCAAGGACTTTCCTGCCTCTCGGGGTCTTGGGGGCGGCGTCGCTTTTGTTGCGTTAAAAAAGCGTGTCCGTTGGAAAATGGGATTCTTTGCATATCGGAGGGGCGGTTCCCTCGAAACGCTCTCCTGCCTCGGTCCCAATCAATTGCACGGCCCGTGATGTGCACGTCTCTGAGAGCGCTCTTAGAAGGAACTCGGGTGAAGTGCAGTTAAGTTAACAGTTGAGTTCCGGCTGGCATATCGTATCGATCATCCACGGATGTCCACGGAATGAGATGGGTTCGTCACGGGCATCACGGCTCCCAGGTTTCGGACCCGTTTAACACAGACATGATTTGCATGGAAATGTGGCGGAGGCATGGATGCGAGAAGAAGATGAGCTACTAAATCGAACACTTCAGCGATGCCTCCGAGAAGTCCGGAGGGCATTGGATGCAGATTCTGACGTGCGGGCACTTGCGGTGTGCAAGGCAGGCGTTTCATGACATATATGACATGAACCACGCCGGACCCGAACTGCACGATAAGAGTTCCAGGTCAGAGGCCGTGTGAAGAGCGTGTACAGCATTGTGAAGAAACTTCTCCGGCACCGCGGTGTTTCTCGAGAAGATCTCAAGGCTCAGGCCATCAAGGCCAGAAACGCAGACTGCAGTTCACCTTACAGCCACGGCCAAGCGACGCCATGCGGTGTCAGGACTTACTTGCTGTGGAAGTTGTGGTTGATCCCGATCCTTTGGCAGAGGTGCAGCTTCAAAACAGCTGCATCCATGTGCATCCTCAAGCACAGAATCTGAGGTCCCGCAGAATCCAGAGTGGTTGGCAGAAGAGTGGCGAGAACGAGCTGCCTGCTTTGCCGTGTTGGATGCTCTACAACGCTACGCCAAGACAACGAAGGGTTGGTCCGTGTTGCCGGACTCCACCAAGGAGCCACATCAAAGTGTTTCAGCCGACCCCTTGCACCCCCAAATTTCGTAAGTTACTAAGTTACTAAACTGTCATGTTCCGCCCTCAGCTTGACTTGCCATGTTTTACGCGCCTTCCAGGACTACATCACAAAATCCAAGAAGAGTGGATACCGTGCTCTTCACATAACACTTTGCACCAATGTTGGGAGCTCACACCAAAGCATGCAAGCTCCAGATCCCACACATGGGCTAGTCTAACCCCAGCCTTTCTGTGCGCAATTGTGCGCCATTTACGGGTTGCAGATTTCGTGAATGTCGTGGCTTGACATCGTAAAGGTCACCACGCAGATGCCGAAGGCATCTAGCCGAGCGATCGCCCAGCTGCGGACCGTAGACACAATGACTTGCAAATTGGAGGCCAGCTGCAGAGTAATCCAGTGTCGCAGTATGTCACAGTGTCGAAGCATATAGGCGCTTCGGCGGTGCTTCCAGGTGCACGTCTTTTCTGGATCCATGAAACAGAAGGAGCGCAAGGGTCTAGCCTCTCACCACCTTTACAAGGCCGGAGGCGGATCCTGCTTTCATAGGCTCTGTCTTTAGATTGTGACACCTCGGGCACCAACGCAAGCATGTCGTAGCCGTAGCACAGCGAACATGAGGCCTTTGAGCTGGGTCCAGATGAGATCTTCGCCTCGTTGGGGGGACGGGCAGCCCGGAACCCGCAGCTGTCAGGCATCACTGCAGCACCAGTGTAGGATCAGATGTGCTTGAGGCAGACTCCATCGCTCCTTCTGAGCTGCGGCGTGCCGTGTTCCCTCTCGAGCGGCTGCACCTTTTCGGGGAGGCATTGACTGGAGCATGGCTGTGGAAGGGTTCTCAAACCCTTCTTCCGCTTGTCGAGTATTCTCTGCTGCACTTGGGGTTGCACAAAAACCCCGCGCATTCAATTTATGAAAGGAGTTGCCCTAAGCGTTTGGGGCAGTGCCCCTGACTCGTACAACGATAATCAAGAAAAAACGATAACGCTATAAAACGGCCTGATTGCTGCATCGCGGCAGGCAGGCGACGCCAGTACTAAGCTTGTACTACAAATCAACGAAAATCCAGCCGGCTCACAGGGACGGCGGTTCCAGTACCAAGCTTGTACTACAAATCAACGAAAATCCAGCCGGCTCACGGGGACTGCGGTTCCAGTACTAGGCTTGTATACTACAAATCAATGGAAATCCAGCCGGCTCACGGGGACGGCGGTTCCAGTACTATAAGCTTGTACTACAAATCAACGAAAATCCAGCCGGCTCACGGGGACGGCGGTTCCAGTACTATAAGCTTGTACTACAAATCAGCGAAAATCCCGCCGGCTCACAGGGACGGCGATTCCAGTACTAAGCTTGTACTACAAATTAATGAAAATCCCGCCGGCTCACGGGGACGGCGGTTCCAGTACTAAGCTTGACTACAAATCAATGAAAATCCAGCCGGCTCACGGGGACTGCGGTTCCAGTACTAAGCTTGTACTACAAATCAACGAAAACCCAGCCGGCTCACGGGGCCGGCGGTTCCAGTACTAAGCTTGTAGTACAAATCAATGAAAATCCCGCCGGCTCACGGGGACGGCGGTTCCAGTACTAAGCTTGTACTACAAGTCAATGAAAATCCCGCCGGCTCACGGGGGCGGCAGTACTAAGCTTGTACTACAATCAACGAAATTATCGGTTCTCAGGCATGAAGTTGTAGGTTGGTCCCCAAAACCCCGTAAAACGATAATCAAGAAAAAATCGATAACCCTAGAACGGATGAATGGATTTATAACGGGGTTTTTGTACAACCCCGCTTAGCTTCCCTACAGCTGCTGGGACCAATTAGTGAATACACTAGGGGTTGAACGTCTTGGGAGGCTGTGAAGGCCAGAATTTCTGTCTGAGTTCTGATGCAGGGACTCAACATACACGGAGAGGGCATGATAAGATGAGCACCATCAGGCCTTCAGTGCGGATCACATGGACCGCGAGTTCAGGGAGCTTTGCTCCAGCTGTGACCGCAGCCAGGACAAGCGGGCTTGAAGCATCTTGAAGCGACGACATACGAAGTCAAACGTCTTTCAGTCAGTTTAAGGCAGTCCATTTTGTCCAGCTTTCCAAGGCCATCCAAGGGCCATGGATTATGCATCCGCAGCTCGTGCTGCCAATCTCCGCATTCTCTGCCAGGATGGCCGCCTTACCTTCGTTGATGTGCAGAAAGCGCAGCAGCAGGTTTCAACACGACTCGAGGACCGAATGGCCGTGCTGAGCGGTTTTCCTGTAAGAGGAGTTGGTCCCGTGCTGCTGCGTAATGTTGCATATGCGGCGGCATAACTCATATCATACTCGATCGCACGTTTTGTGTTTGGCAAGCCCTAACCCAACTCTCCAGCACAAACCCTAGCATGTATTCCAGCGGTCCTGTGCTTTGAACCTTTACCCTTACGTCTAACGACCCGACTCGGGCAATCTTCTTCCTCTAGCAACGAGCACTTCGAAGCACCGGCGTCTGCCAACCCTGAATACCTTGGCATGCTAAGTACTCCTAGGGGCTTCTAGTAACTCTGGGCTGACAGACCTGATTGCTGCGACATTCTATACAGCATGGAGAGGACTTTAGACGTGCACTGGAGCAACGAAATGCCAACTGGTGGGTGGCACTGGCCTGATCTTGTGTACTATGTGTACTGAAGCGTACTTCAGCCCTGGGTGTGACCGGGGCTGTGACACCCCCTTCCCCTTCCCCACCTCACAGACTCACAAACTCACAAAGTCTTCAATTGTTGAAAAATGTTCTTTAGGGGTTGACCGACTGAGTCCAGAGTCAGGGCAGCAGGGCAGCAATGTTAAGAAGTTGTTTTTCATGCGGCCGTTCCGTTAAATCACTTAGCCGTGGTCGGATGATGTCGGATGCTTTCGACACCTGCTGTCCATGGAGAGCCTTAAAATATCCACAATGTAGAGCCTCAAGAACAGTGCCTCGCATGAGACCCGGTCATGGTTGTCGCGCTTCGTTGCCAGGTGCACGGAGTCCAAACCGGCTACAGGCAGTCGTTGGGTGCTACTTCTTGGGACTGGGCGAAGCAACTTGGCATGCGCACGACGGAGTCGCCTCGCCGGACCAAGCTGCAAGGTTTAGTTGTAGCAAACCGTAAACGCAGTAAGGTATGCAGCAGAATTGGATCCACAGCAGAAGGCACAAGCCGAGTATGGAAGTACAGATCTTGCAATAAACTATGTTGGCGACATGGTTCAGGTGTCGATGCTGCACAAAGCTCTCGACATGACCAAGGATGCTCATGCCGGACAGGTGCTAAGCTGAGTACTGCACTTCAGCTGCAGCACGAAGCGATCGAATGCAGCCTCCATTTTATCCATAGCTTCGTTGCGAAGATTACGTGCTGTGTGTCACTTTGCCTAGGAGCCCTGCAGCAGTCCAGCCAGCACCATTCGGACAGTGTTGAAGCATGATCGGCTTATATAGACTGCAACGCTTAGCTGGAAGACGGACAACTCGCTCATTGCGCAGCACATTTAAGCTTCAGTTCTGCCATGGGTCTCCTATATGGGAAAACTCATGGGGCAGGCCGTACTCTGTGGAAGAGCATAGTTCAAATTCGCAATTGGTGTGTTGCGCGCTTTCCTATGGGAAACGCCTATCGGAGGCCATAACATGCGCAAAAAACACGGCTTTGTTTTCGGGAAATACCTGAAACCTGAAAACCTAAAACCCCGAGCTCAGAAGCCTCAAACACCCTCATCTCGTTACTGTATCACCCCCTACACCTGATTTTCATTGCGCAGACTCCGATTGGGCCGCGCAGAGGTTCGAAAGAGTGGTGATCCCTACTGGACACATCCGCTTGCGGTGGCCGACATTCTTGCGCGGGGGCTTAGGGATCCACCTTGAGACAGAGAGAGCCTCCCTCCCTCCCTCCCCCTCAGCCCCAGTCTCTCTCCCTCAGTCCCTCTCTCCCTCAGTCCCTCTTTCCCTCAGTCCCTCTCTCCCTCAGTCCCTCTTTCCCTCAGTCCCTCTCTCCCTCAGTCCCTCTCTCCTTCAGTCCCTCTCCCCCTCAGTCCCCCTCAGTCCCTCTCCCCCTCTCCCTCCTTCCCTCCTCTCCCTCCTTCCCTCCTCTCCCTCCTTCCCTCCTCTCCCTCCTTCCCTCCTCTCCCTCCTTCCCTCCTCTCCCTCCTTCCCTTCTCTCCCTCCTTCCCTCCTCTCCCTCCTTCCCTCTCCCTCCTTCCCTCTCTCTCCTTCTCCTTCTCTCTCTCTCTCTCTCTCCTTCTCTCTCTCTCTGTCCTTCTCTCTCTCACTCCCTTACTCTCTCTCCTTCTCTCTCTCTCTCTGTCTCTCTGTCTGTCTCTCTGTCTCCCTGTCTCTGTCTTTGTCTCTGAAGGGTTAGAAAAAATACCGCTCCCCCCACCCCACCTCCCCTCCAGTTCTGAGGCACGAGCTTTGCTCCCCCCCGACTCGACGCTGGAACCCCGATGGCAATTGGATGGCCCTGCCTTGGAGCAGGACTTGTGACTTGTCCTGCTGTGTAGGCGCCAACTTTACCTGTTTGACTTGTTTTCTTCTCTGAACTTGTTTTCTGTCAGGATGCTGAAAAGCTTTGGCCTCGAATTGCCGATGGCCCTGATGACATCTTTGCCATGCGCGCAAGCTGTGCCGTTGAGAAGCCCCGATCTTACTTTCTCGCTACATGGATCAGGTACACTGCTGCCCTTCTGCATGACACGGTGGAGGCATCTGCAACTCTGCAACAAGAACTGCGTAGCCGATCAGGTGAGACCAACAGCGTCAGGGGCCTTTTGCGTGCGCAGACAACAAAACCATTCCCTTCGACTATCCCTACCCTGCAGCTACCTGATGTTGCAGCCATCCAGCTGTTTTCAGACAGGTATTTACAAATACTTTCCCGCGAATACTTCGCCGCAGGCTGCTGTCGCCGGACTCTCCGCAGAATTCTCTGAGGGTAGGAGGGATGCTCGGCGGACTCTTGCGGGCGTTTCTGGGGGCCAAGGAATCCAGTACGGGACTTCTTTGCGGGCATGTCTGCAGCTCTGGGGTGGGCGCTCTGGTGAGCGGGACACCGGGCGAGGAGCAAGAAGGCGAGGAGCATGGTTGACTTGAAGCCTAACAGCCCCGCAACGAGGCTGGGCAACAACCTGGAAAGAAGATAAAGAAGACGAGATGAAAAGTTGACATTCGCACATAGTTCAGGAAGACAAGCTCTTGATTCGCAAGATCCGCGGATGAGAAAGGGCTTGATTCGGGATTCAACAAAGCTCCGCAGCGGTATCCTTCGCGCCGCTCTCGGCTTGCATCATTATTCTCGCGCTGGAAATGCAACAGCGGCTCCCAGCGGCGGATCACGACACGAAAGTGCTCATCTTGAGTCCGAATGTGGCAATAGCTGCATGCTGATTCCACAGCGAGTTCTGAACTACGATACACTAACGAGCAAATCCAGCGTGCCAGGGAGGAATTGTCATTTTTTGGTAACTGCCGTCGCTACTGTTATTGTTGCTCTTTCCCTTACGTGTTTATTGTTCTTCTTCCTTACTCTTACTCTGACTCTGACTCTTACTCTTGCCCTTACTCTTACTCTTACTCTTACTCTTACTCTTACTCTTACTCTTACTCTTGCTACTACTACTACTACTACCACCACTACTACTACTACTACTACTACTACTACTACTACTACTACTACTACTACTACTACTACTACTACTACTACTGCTACTGCTACTGCTACTACTGCTACTGCCCCTACTGCCCCTACTGCCCTACTGCCCGTACTGCCCCCTACTGCCCCTACTGCTACTGCTACTGCTACTGCTGCTGCTGCTGCTACTACTACTACTACTACTACTACTACTACTACTACTACTACTGCTGCCAATGCTACTGCTACTGCTACTGCTACGACGGATGTTGGGGCAAAACCAAAACAGGACACAAACCATGTGTAGCGAGCGCTAAACTGGAAAATGGTCTTGCTGGGTGGGCCCCGCTGCCGCGAGGGCCCTTGTGCTGTGGCAACGCTAGTGTCAAGCGAGTGCCAACTGTAAGTTTAAATCACGAATTTGAGATGGTCATAGTCATCCTGAAAGTTTGTCAGGAACCATGAAGCAGGAAACATGGCGGCACGAGTCGGGACCAACAAGGCAGAGTCAAGGGCACCAGATCGTCGTTGCAGGTGCAAGCACAAACTGCAAGGAACAACTCAAGTGTAACAAGAAGCCTGACGAATACCTGCTTCACAAAAACCCACAAAACAAAGACGCAGAAAGGTGAGGGCTTGGGAGTGGCTCTCGTGTCCTTTGTGTCCTGCACACACACGAGCATTGCGCGCTGCCATGGGTGATGGGTTTTCTCTCAAGTGCAAGAGAAGCCTGAGCACGGGAAAGTGCAGGACACGAGCGTCACGTTGGAGCAGATTGAGGCAATGACAATGACTCAAGGGTTGTCAATTTAGGGACCTTCCCCAAGGTCTTTCCAAATCTTTGGAGTGAGTTGTCAGGATGCCTTTGGACCAGTTGTGGCGTCACTGGTGGACGGAGTGACTAAGGCACTTTGCTCGGACATGCTTGTGCATATATCTGTTGTTCATATGCTTTTCTTCACGTTTTTTTGTTCATATGCTGTTGTTCATGCTTTTGTTGGAGTACCTGACATACCCTTTGATCTTGACGATGAAGGCATCTCAGGCCTCATGCACGAAGTCGAGAGCATCACGATCTGCACAGGACCTGAGGAAGGTTCCAGCCAGCATGTCATGTCTCATTCCACTAGTCCAGAGTTCCCTTGCATAGCCGCCGGGAGTTGCAACCCACAACATCATAATTATGGTTGGCCTGCAGTGCCCCCCCCCCCCCCATCCCCGCCCCACCCCCCCCCCCCGGCCTCCGCGTTGAGGGTTTAAGGGCGGGTTTGGGGTTCGGGGTTTTGGTTTAGGGTTTCGTGTGTGGTGGAGGGTTTCAGGTTTAAGGTTTCGGGTGTACGGGAGGGGGAAGGGGAGAATGCCTTGGGGGGCGGCTGGGGGCTGGCGAGCCGAGAGCCGGGATCATGTATCGCTTTGAGGGTCAGCTTTGCTGGACAGTTTGTGCTGTCACAGCCTGGGACTACGTGTTGCATCTGTCGTCCTGCTGATCTTGTGAAATGTGATGTAAATATTTCTACAGGTAGAAAGTGCGTCCTGACAGATGATGTCAGATGTGGATGTCACGTATGTCAGGTACTGACCAGGGCTGCTCAAGACGTGCGGGTTCTGATCATCAAGTTTGCAGATCGGCTCCACAACATGCGGACGCTGGAGATCTGGTGGCTTCAGACTAGTTCGCCACGTAGTTAGCCACATTGTAACATGAGAAGCATGCACTGCAGTGGCCATTGTTCGAAAATCAAGCTTTTGGAGCCCCAGCTTGGGCACGGGAGAGAGGAGCACATGCCAGCTTCGAAGCAGCGCCGAATTGTCCTTGTCTGAGAGCAATGATGTGTACATGTACGTACCACTGTGACGTGTCAAGTGTGGACAGCTTTTGGCATCTGCATTGCTTTCCAACAGGCTGAAGAGACGCGGGCTGTGTACGTTCCGCTGGCAGAGCGATTAGGCGTGCACATTTGGAAGACGGAGTTCGAGGAGTGTTGGAGACTGCTAGGGTGCTGCCAACCCAGCAACTTGTTTTTGAAGCGTCTGGGGTTGGCAGGGATTCTACTTGTATGGAATGATACCTGAGAACTGCCACATGCTGCCGCATTCGCTTTGTTCACATGCATGCTTTACGTTACGTTGCTTGATGCAGACGGGGCGGGACATGGTATCTGAATCTGCCCCAAACATGCATGGTTCTCGCGGCACCAGCCGCAACCAGCCGCCCAATCTCCAAACAAACGCGAAGCCTTCTGCAGTGGGCAACATGTTCGGAAATTCGGAACAGTTGGGATGCTCTGCTCTCGACGAGCGAGTCTTTGTTGACCTGATCATGGGCACAGCTCAGTCGTGCTTCGCAATTTCCACGGTCGTCTGATGTGTAGAGGCTACATGTCCACGTCGGCGAGCATTTAGGGCACGTGGATGGGAAGCAGGGCATCTGAATGTGCGTTCATGCCTTCGGAGGAGCTCTGCTGTCAATACCTAAACGGCTGCGCATACGAGGTAGGGTTGTCCAACTAACCTCCCACGATTTGTCCTCATTGGCCTTCGTGCAGGAAGTCCTAGACCGAAATCGACGATCGCAGGCCCCTGCCGGGCCAGGTGAAAGAAATACTGCGCAGCAACATGGGTCGAAGTGCCACAGCTGATCGTCCATTGCTGTCTGTCTGCAGCATCTTGTCAGGTTGCCAGGCAGCGGCACCGCCGGTACATTCAGCAATATATCCGAACCATGATGGTGGCGGGCGCAGATGCTCTAGCTTGCATTCACGAAATGGTTACAGTCTCTCACAGCGAAGCAGCACAAGACTGTCAGTCCCACCACTCTAAGGTGGAGATGACATCTGACTCCATCTTGGAGATTTCCGTACGTGAGGAGCCAGTTTGAACGCCGGGCAATCGGCACATGTCTTGGCTTGGAGGAGCCACCGCACACCCAACTGCGTCGATGGGCAGACCGTCCGGAGACGGATACTCCGCAGCCTATCCCGCGTGTGCGGATAGTCACAAAGGCCCTGCAACCCACATGATCCTCATTCATGTTACCTCGTATGGCTACCTACATACGGACTGGCTGTGAACCGAGAGCGCAATGTGGAAGGATCGGGATGCTTGCTGGGCTTGCCTCGGACGAATCCACTCGATTTTGCCACCAATGCGACGTCCTTAGCACACTTTGCCGGGGCCCAGCAAATCCCAGCAACGTACATCATCATTTGTCCACACTGTAGCTGGGAAACCGAAGTTCTGAGACTGAAGGCCCGGCCGGCTGCGGGACTACATTTCGTCTCCAAAGGTCACAGACCTGGAGACCCCAAGTCCGTCGTGAAAATCGCGGATGATTGCTGCAAGCTGGTCACCTAAGGAAAATCTGTACATGTGCCTCCACACAACTGTGCTCATGGACGGTACTGCAGTTGAGGCCGTGGGACATGTAACAGATCATCAACTTGCTTCTTCGTGCCATATGGCAGGTCTACATCCTGAGTTTGGAGATGGAGTGGGTTGCCGAGTTTGGGGTTGGCGCTTTTTGGCGCCACAATGAGGCCTGGCGCGCGCGGCAACAGCGTGCGCCAACACCGTACCCAATCCTGGAGAGACTGGCCAGGACTTGCAGAGAAGTGAAACTGGAAGAAGCTTCTTGGCGGCCCTGCATTCAACCTGGATCTTGCAGGCGTGTGTCAGATTTGCAGCATGTAACGGGACTGTAACTTGCAGTGAGCGATGTAGCCTATTCCTGGCAGGCAAACCAGTCCCTCACACACAGCTTGCACTCATTGGAGGTACATGATTCGTGTGTGTGGAATATCTGCCTCCCCGAAAATGCGAGCAAAACGAAAGTTGAGAATGCTTCTGGGCGTGCTAGGTGTCGATGGAGCCATCATCATTGCCGTCCTCGAGCTCGAGGAATCCACAAAGCCTCGGGCCGCTCGAGAGCCAAGCAAGCTGGGATCTGCAAACTCGCTCGAGCTCCAATTCTTCGCTCTTCCCACATGGCGTCAAGTCACGCGAGCCCCGCCGCCTGCTATTGGATCCTGCATCTGCACGCTCTGACTTGGACCACGATGCCTCTGTCGACAATGACACGGCATCTGCCTAGTTCTCAGCGCTTGGAAATTTCAGCTGCAGGCATCAGGCTGGAGACGGGGGTTCGGGCGTCAATGCTCTCCATACTTTGCCAAGGTTGACCAAGGAGCTGCTGATCAAGAAGATGGATTGTGCCCCCAGAATTAGGATGTTGGCAGCATAGAGCCTAGATAGAGCACGCGCTTGCACACGTCGATGCCTTGTCTCAGGTACGCAGTTCAACCACTGTTGATCTGGCATGGGTTGAGCAGCGGTTGGCCTCAAGAGGAGTCATGGAAGCTTGGAGTTTGTCACAGGGCTCATCTCGTCCCCCTTGTCCCAAATTCTTCGAAAGTCACAGAGTGAACCTCAAAAACAATCGAAGGGGGGCCGGTCGGAGTCCAGGACCAGGGTTGCTACAAGTCTCGGAGATAGCGCCAATATAATTGATTGGCACTTGGCAGGCTGCAGCGCATTTCCAAAGTGGCTTCTGATTTTGCCGGTGGCACAGGCAAGCCTGCTATACCTAACTTGGGTCACGGGGCTGCATGATTGTTTTGACTGAGTTATGTCTGCAGGCAGCAGGCAGCGTGATGACAGCGAGGCCACGGGCTATTGGTCCGCGTCCTTCCAAGACAGCTCGGTAGATGTACGGTTTCATTTAATCGGCGAGGAAATAGCAGAACCAAGGCCCCAAGCCCCAATGCTCTGAAAGTATGAGGGATGATGGGACACCAAAAGTGGCACGTGACGAAGAGTTGTCCATTCCACCGGTGGCCTCAAGACCCTCATAGCACCTGTAGTATCTACAGTATACGATGGTTTTGTCAGAGATGGTCCTTTTTTAGAGTTGAGTCGTGCAAACACCCTCGTTTTTGCATGTAGAGCGATGCTTTGGAAACCAGAATGTCAGCGCCATGCGTCCGCGGACAAACGCGCTCGATCTTGCTGTAGCTATACTTTCGGCCCAGGCTGTAAGGCGTTCATGCGCCCGTATTGAGTTTGATGTCTGCCGAAATGGATAGTTCGACGCTCGATAGGTGGGGTGGCTCCAGTCCATTAGCAAACAAATGAAAGACTGTGCCCAAGGTGGCACGTGTGTTTTCGCTGCAAGCAATGGGTTCCACAAAACAATTCTGCATCGAGTGGAACCATAAGCCCCCAAAATAGGCCTGTCTTCGGAAGGATGGCGGCGAGCTGCTGGCAGAGCTACATCGGGCCTACAGTGAGGCTGTGCATGGCTGTGCAAAAGCATCTCTTCACGCCAGCTTGAGCATGGCTGGTTCATGGCCAGCTCAAGCCATGCAGGGGCAGGCGACGCGTTGTTGTGCTTTGTGCATTTGGGAGGCCCTGCGTGAGAAGGTGGCTGTATTCACACCGACAGGCATTGATTTTAAAGTGCACGAGCCCATCGCATCATGTGGGAAGTGGCCTTAATCTGAGCAGGCCGTGTGCTATATCTTCCACGGGATGCAACGCCTCTGGACTTCGCGGTGTGGAACCTTGGCGCCAAGAAGGCGAGGGTGTGCGACGCCAGGGCACAGCGAAGTAATGTATTTGCAAAATTTTGCCAGCTTGCCAGGGCTTGCGAGCAGAGGCTGCTTTCATTGACAGCAGTGAGGCGACGTTGAACACAAGGTTGCGGGAGGCGAGCCGGGTCATGCTCGCCTGTCCGAAGGTGTGCAACCAGTTGACTTGTTTTGTTTTTGCTTCGGTGCACGTTCCAGCTGTCCAGGGCCAGACTGTGCTTGTGCACTTGCACGACGACGAAAAGCTTCTGCCTCCACTGGAATGGTCTGGCGTCCATCTCAGGCCGGAAGATGTTTGTGTTTGCTTTGCGGCTTTGCGGTGTTGTTTCTGCAGCCATCTGCGGGCATTTAGTTTGCCAAAAGCCTGGATGTTGCTCATCGTGAACTTGCGTGGGAGGTACTTGCGCACAACACGTGCTCGAGCAGCACTGGTGGACATGAGGAGCAACCCTTGTGCAAGTGCCATTGTCATGTCACTTCCACACCGCTTGTATCCTTGTAAACATGTGGGTATACCAGTCTGTTCTTTAGTTCATGCAAAAGGCATTGTGCAAACACTCCTCCCACACGCTGCGCTTCATGTACCGTTTTTGCAAAGCAACATAAGAAGACCATCTTCAGGCCAGACGGCTTAAGCAAGATGGGTTGACACAGGGCAGGTGCAGATGGTAGAGATGGATAGTGCAGACGACGCAAGATTGAGATTATTCGCATCAACGGGTACCGCATATCTCGCAGACCATTGGACAAACCAAATTCCACAGACATATTCATGAGCCCTGGTGCTACATGGCCACGAGTCTTCAATATGAAGACTCTGGTCTCCACTAAAACTCAACATTTCACATTTGAGTTGCGCTCACACGGCCGTGCAGGTAGAGCAATCTTGCATGAGCTGGCTTCCTTGTCCCCTCATCTACATGTCATCCTTTAACCACACACGTGTACAGCCCATTGCTCTAGTGCGTTTGGCTTTCAATCCTCGGACCTGGGCAGGATTGCGCTGGTTCACTTGCTGCATATAGTTGAGCAGGGAATAGCACAGACCTAACCAATGGCTCAGGACGGGTGGTCTTAATCTGTTCCGAGACCCTCGGGTGTGGAAAGTGTGGAAAGACCTTGACATTCACTGACGCAATTACTTCCTCCCCGTCCTCGCTATAGACGTTTCAGTCAGTAGTAGTGGACATTACGCTATCAGCGATCAGGGTTGCAAGCAATATATCCAAGACTGGATCAAGGTTTGGGTTTCCTGATCTCTGAAATGTTCTGCATGCCAAGCGGTTGTCACTCACGGTACTGATCACCTGCAGCACCATCATCGGGGTTGAGGAGTTGGCCATGGCCAGAATGGACTCAGCACCACCACCATCTTCACTTTTTACGCTCATTGCACGAAGCAGCAAAGGTAAATCGATGCTCTTAACTGTCCGTGCGTTCGGGTCATGAATCAACAGGGGCTTAAGCCGGTTGACAGCTCTTGAGGCACATTTTTTTGGCTTGAGGTCTATCCCAGCAGGTGCCAAATCGGAAGGCATCATGGTAAACAGGGGTGTTTGCTCGTGACACGGTGCAGGCTGAAGCATCGTGAAACGCGTGAGCCGTAAACCCGAGCGATCAACTTGGCTCTAAGATGGGAGCTTGCATGCTGGGGCTGTGCATCACCTGTCTCCTTCTCAGTCTCTCGAGTTCGGCGCAACCAGCAGCGCGAGGGGATTCCTGCGCGCGGTTTATGATCGGGGGCCCTGGCGCTTTCCGATCCGCCCCCTTTCTGTCTATTGAGTGGGTTTCGTGACTTAGCCCTCTGTTCCCTGAAGTCAGCTTCGTCGTGATTTTGAATGTTTCGGGATGGCTTTAAGTTTTTGTAGTAGTTTCGAGTTCTCAGGGTTGAGGGGCTTGAGATGGTTTGCCCTTCTGTGGTTTAGGGCCAAGGGCCTGGTCCAGGCCGTTTCCTTTTTTGATTTGCAGTGTATGTGTGCGTGTATATATATATATATATGCATATGTGTGCGCGTGTGTGTGTGTGTGTCTTTGTTTTGGTCTTCGGGCAATCCCAGATGATTCCTAAAGAGTCCGCATGCTCTCACTTCCGCAAGCTCCCATGCAGTAGCCCTGACATGAGGGTTCCATTCACTAAACAGTTGCAGCAGTTTGCCGGTTTGTGTTGCAGGACGCAGATGCTGTCAGAGCAGCAGGCAGTAGAGGAAGGACAGGCCCAAAGGTCATGAACAAAAAGCAGAGCACGAACAGCTATAGCATCTGCAGCGAAGGACGAGAGGCCATTCGGAAAGAATTGGCACTCCACAGCGGCATACTTAGTCGGCATCTGCCAGCTGCAGTTGGGATGCGAACTGGGCTCGCGCATCACCATTGTTGACTCGATTTGTCTCGATTTGCAAGCTGCGCAGCTCGGTGATGGTGAGTCCACGGCAAGCTTTTGCAAGAACATGCGCCGAAGGTCTGGATCTGTCACTGCGGCAGCAGCTTGGCGACGAGGTGCTAGCTGCCCTGGGCGAGGAGCACAGAGAACTCCAAGTAACCCCATGTGGCTTCACGTCTTGCCAGCCTTTGCCGTCTAAGTTTGTCAGGTCGGGGAGCTTTGCCCGTCGAGCTGGTTAGCGGCCAGTTGCTAGCAGCCAGGCAGCCTCTCTGAAGAATCTTGCAGTTCATAACATCCTATTATATCCGGTTCCTCGTTGAACAAAGGCTCCACATGCCGCTGGGCGATGCCAGCTATGAGTGACCCTCGTGTTGCTGGTACCGTGAAAATGCAACTGCAGAACTCACCTCCAAAAGAGGTGGTGCACTGAATTCGCTATAGGCAGCCTCTCCAATCCTACTTTAGGCTTCCTGAAGCATGTTGCTACTTTTATCTGCTTGTGTTCTTTTACAAGTTTGATACGCATGGATCTGGCCAAAGTCGGAGTTTTTCTTTGAAGACGCGCATGCCACGCCAACACGCAATTGCTTCCGTTTCCATACGCTGCCAAACAGGCTAATGGCTCCATTCTCCGGGCCCCAGGTCAAAATGGCAACATTGGCCAGGTACACAGGCAATGCTGGCGTGGTCTCTTCGCCCAGCGAGGTGCGATGGTCCTGAGCAAAGGACCCAAACGCA